AATTTTGACAATCCAAGTGGATCGGACAAGTCCTGAAATCCTGTTTTCCTCAAGTGTAGTGTTTTACTTTTATCTTGACCTCTTTGTTTCTTTAAGTATTTTAGTCAGAAATTAAATAGCTTCATCTTTATTTGCACACACTCATATGTATATGTGGACACAGAGGGAGAAGTAAAATGGTAAAGATTTATTGGAGAAAAATAGCAGAACTCCTGCTGGACAGGAGTAGTCCCAAGCGAAGGTACTCCTTGGGGTTTACAAGGTGTCTCTAGGAGAAATCTACAAGGCACCTAGTTCATTGGATAGCCTGTGAGCCATTTCAATCTCCACCCCCAATCAGAGGTTCCATGCAGCCAGCACAAGCTCTCCATGCATTGTTTAGCTCCTCTGACTGGGTGCCAACTCCAACTTACACCTTGGGGGTCCAATAAATCCACTGTTCCTTATGCGGGTCTTCTGGGTCAATGGGCTATGATGTGATGGCTAAAGGTCCAAATGTATGACTTCCCAAGGCTGTGGGGGCTGTGATATCTAGCAGTTTGTATATAGGAGTGCTCAAGGCCATGGTGAGGGATATAACCCTCTGTGGGAGTGAGTTATCTATGTCTGCTCTTTTATTCTCTTATCTCTCATTGATTTTTGCCACTTAGGTTTTGGTGGAGTGATTTCCTTACAAGCTGTATCCTGTTGGCATGGCTCTGCATAGTTAGTTTAGGCTACCATTTTAAAGGGATGCTATAGGAACTCTACTTTATCCCAGCATCCCAGGATATCAGATTGTGTGGGAGGGCTGAGTCTTATTCCTGGAAGATGAAGTTAAGTCTAGGGTACCTCAGAAGTCAAGTCCAGGAGTGTGTGAGGCTGAGATTGCTCTGCAAAAATATTGCACTTATAAGGACAGGCAGAGTCCAGGGGGAAATGCTGGCAACAGAGCAAGGTTTTGCTATATGAAATAAGTGTTAAGTTCAGTTGTAGATAGAGAGATCATCCTTTAGTATTCATAAATGGTTGATAATTATTAACAAGTAATTGCATTCATAGTATCCTCTATGGATATTTAACTTTCATAGGAAAGTTGTGAATATTATTACTAGGTTGGAGATAAGAAAATAGATAGAGGATTTGAGAGGTGCCATACTAAGGCCACAACCTGGATATTAATGCATGGCTAAGACCAATAAGCATGACAAATGCACAGTAAAATATCCAACGGATGGCCTTTGCCTTTTTGGCTGAACCCCCAACCTCCCAAGTCATACTCAGACAGGAGTTGGTGGTAATGTATTTGAGCTAGTGAAACAAGGAAGATAATCAGTATAATCAAGAAGTAGAACGAAGACAAGTGAGCTCCAGGTAAAGTCCTCATGGCCTCTGGGCATAAGGCATGACCTTTGGGAAGAATGATTTAGTGCCACTAAATGGGGAGTAGGTATAGCCTGCAGGAGACCCTTGGGATACTAGCTCTGAGTCAGGGGATTCTCCCTGTCAATCCTAGAGGAGAGCCTAAACCTTCCAGGAATCCCTGAAGACTCTGCGCAAGGGTAGTAGTTTCTGCTTCAGTACCTCAAGGGCAGAGGTTTGTGAGGATAAAGCCAGCAGCTCCCTTCCTAGGTGCCTCCTTCCCAAACTTTTTACAGCAGAAGAAAGTCTGCACTGGGTGTGCACACATAGAAGAGAAACGGCCCAGAACTATATTTCAGACTGAGGTTGTGGACAGAGTTGGAACTGCGGGGAAAGGGGAAAGAGCTGGCAGGGCTGTGGTGAGAAGGATGGGCCTGGGGCATTCCATTATTTCCTACTGTCCTGATCTTTCCCCTACCCTCTCATTGCTTCTGTTTTTGCTTTACAAAAGGGAGGACAAAGCTTTTGACCCTTTTTGCTTGTCTAGATGTATAATAGTTATTGCAAATAAGGGAAAAATGGGATCTATGTTTCTTTGAGCCTGGCTTACTTCACTTACTTCACATAGGACCACATAAGATGATGCTAAAAGAAATGAACCCCAAGATAGGGACACAAGAGCTTTTATCTTTCTTGTTGTTGTTTTTAATGTATTTATAATGTACTATGTGATTTTTTGTTTCTTTTGTATGTTCTTTCCCCATGGTATAACCCCTGTTTTCACTGTGTTTGAATCTGGTTCCCTGCATCTTGTAGATACATTTTTCTTATTTGGGGAGGGGAAGGGAAATAACAAAATGCTGAAATAAGGATACAGGATGGCCCATTGTAACAACGAGATGTACAAGACACTATGTTGAAAATGAACTTTACAACCTAGGCAGTGGGGAGTGGGGAGTTGGGGAGGTAGAGAGGGAAGGGATGGTAGGGGAAAAACAAAGGAGGAGGTAACAATGCTGGATAGGAAATGTACTCATTACCTTACTCATGTAACTGTAACCCCTCTGTACAGTATCGTTACAATAAAAATTATATTTAAAAAGGGAGGACAAATCTTGGCAGTCCTACCCAAAAACTTTCTCTATGTACTCTAAGTATTCTTTCTCCCTATAAAGAATTCCTGCCTCTTCTCTATGCCAAACACCATGGGCCATCTCCAGCAAGTCTTAGCGCTTTGTTCCAGTTTATGTTCAGCTGCTTCTCATCTCCTGTCATTGCTTTCTTTATCTTTATCACTATCTCCTCCCAGTTCAGAGCCTCTGTACTATGGACAGGGAGGAAGTCAGACCTGAACTAGAAAGACAGCAGGGAGTACTAAGGGACACATTTCTGTAAGGTTCTTCTATCACAAGCCACCTTATTATTTTTTTAATGTGTATTTTTTATTGGACAAATACTGTACAGAGGGGTTACAGTTACATGAATAAGGTAATGAGTACATTTCCTATTGAGCATTGTTACCCCCTCCTTTGTTTTTCCCCTACCATCTCTTTCCTCCCCACCTCCCCAACTCCTCCCTCCTGCCCGTCGCCCCCCCACAAAGTTGTAAAGTTCATTTCCAACATAGTGCCTTGTACATCTCGTTGTTACAATGGTCCATGCTGTAGCCTTATTTCAGCATTTTGTTATTTCCTTTCCCCTCCACAAATTAGAAAAAGGTATATATAAGATGCAAGACACTGGAATCAAATACTGGGACAACAGGGGTTATACCATAGGGGAAGAACATACAAAGAAATGAAAAAAAATCACAAGTACATTACAAGTACATTATCAAGAACAGCAAGAAAGATAAGATCTCTTGTGTCCCTATCTTGGGGTTCATTTTGCTTAGCATCAGCTTATATGGTCATATATACATAGCTTTTGACCTTTTCTGCTTGTCCTAGACATATACTACTTATTGCAAATAAGAGAAACCATGGGACCTATGTTTCTTTGAGTCTGTCTTACTTCACTTAATATAATTTTTTCCAAGTCTTTCCATTTCCTAACAAATGGGGCAATGTCATTCTTTCTGATGGAGGCATACAATTCCATTGTGTATATAAATATATATCACATTTTCTTGATCTATTCATCTACTGATGAGCATCTGGATTGGTTCCATATCTTAGCTATGGTAAATAATGCTGCAATAAACATAGT